GGTGAACCGCGATCTGCCGCCCAAGGATCAGCAGTGGCATGGCATCCGCGTGGACATCAAGATCAGGGGTGGAGTTTACACTTCAGCAGTCTCGAAAGCAGGCTGGATGACAAAATGGGGTTGGATCAAGTCGGTCTACGTTCGAAAACGTGAACCTGGAGCAGTCTGGGAGCGCATCCAGAATGGAGCGCCTGTAGGAGACTTGGCCAATGTCTCAGAGCCGTGGTCCGACGTCATCAGTTTCACTCACCGTGCTTCGCAAGGCTATATGGCGCTGCAGCCGAGAGTGGTTTTGGCCCCAAGGTCCGAGATTCGCTCGTTCGTGCCGCCTACACCCCCAAAGCCTAGGAGACTTAGGGAATCATCCAGGACACCAGACACCGAGGACACAAGAACTCCAGAAGGGTCCATTGCATCTCAAACTGAGCGTCCAGAGTCCGAGTCACGATCACCAACCAGTCCTGCATCCACTGAGTCCGCAAGTTACGAGCCAGTAGCACACATGGCATGGGACCTCGATAGGAGAGAACAGGTTGAGATCAACTTGGAAGATAGCAATGAAACCGATTCGGAAGTCCCTCCAGATCCCAATGCACAGCCAAGTAGTTCGGGAGTCTTGTCCATTCCATTGCAAATTGACCCCAATGAGAGAACCACCATGGGTAAGAAGCATAGGAGGGCAGTCTTGGAGGGCATTGACCGATTGAACCATCAAGATGCTTTGGTCAAATCCAGCATTGGTCTGAAGGACGTCCCAGTTTCAGAGCCTCCAACCTTGGTCATTACTTCGCATCCCCGCCTCTTTCAGGAGCTTCAAGCAGCAGATGGTGTTGCAGACGTTTTTGACGTCGGTGTGGGAGCTGAGCACCTCAATCCTGAGGAGAACTCCAAGGTCTGGTATGATGTTTTGCAAGACTACAAGAACATCGTCATTGCCAGAGGGTATGAAAAGAGTACAGACTCTTTGAGACATGGTAAGATTTTGGGTGAAGTAGAATCCCATTGTGACATGAGTGGTAGCCGGTTTTTGCACATTGATGTTGCAACTACCCAGAGATGGGAGGAACATGAGTTTCCACAGATTCCCCATATCAACGACCATGACTTGGCATTCACCTGCAATGATCCTAAGTGGACTGAGCTTTTCGAATCGTGGTTTCGAGGACAGACCATGAATGATGTTTTGTCTTGGCAGTTCGTTGATTGGTTAGGTGAATGGACCAATGACACAACTTTGGACGATGAGATGTCTGTAGCATTTGTTGGTGAACTGCAAGAAGAGGCCATGGATGATGAACAGCAGTTCGATGCCATCTGGGATGATGAAGATCGTGCACAAGTGAATCCAGTAGAAGACCTGATCTCAGAAGAGACACTGGTCGATGAAGTGGACATCCCAGGCCTGCCAGCAGATGAAGTCGAACGACGCCGGATGTGGCGCAAGTTGCCTGCACGTGTGAGGATTGGTGTGAGAAGATTGCATAGGCAATTTGGACACGTCCCCAAACAGACGATGATCCATCTCCTTCGTGCAGCAAAGGTTCGAAAGGAATTCATCGATGCTGTCAGGATCCACAGATGCGAAACTTGTGAAGCAACATCCCAGAAGAAGGCCACGCACAAGACAGCATTGCCTAACAACTACTCGTTCAACCACACAGTAGGAATTGATGTGTTTGAAGTTCACGACATTTCAGGTGACAAGCTCCAAGTGTTGAACATGGTTTGTTTGGGTACTACTTTTCAGCTATGTGAGGTTGTTCGTTTTGGTGCTGGTCAACCGTCTTCTGCCGAATGTCTGAAAGCACTGAGGAAGCGTTGGTTCTCATGGTGTGGCCATCCTGTGAACATTGCATGTGACAGAGGTCTGCACAACCGAGGTGTCATGAAGAAGTACATGGATGAACATGGAATCCAAGTGTACCACACCCCTCTGGAAAGCCCGGAGAATCTTGGTCGTGTAGAACGTCATAGAGGCATTGTCAAGTCACTCTTTAGGAAGGTTTGCAAAGAGACAGGCGCTGTTGGCAGAGAACAGGTTGAGCAGGTACTGCTCAAGGTAGTAGCTACTAAGAACAACTCTAGTAGAGTCGGAGGTTTCTCGCCTAGTCAATGGGTACTTGGAAAAGGACCCCGATCAGATCCGAGCCCATTGTCTGAAGAACGGTTTGCCGAGCTTGGAGCTATTGAAGCCCGTCACAACCCAGAGAGCATTTTCGCCTTACAGCACATGGCCAGGCAGGAAGCTCAGAAAGCATTTGTTCACCTAGATTGTTCGTCAAGGGTGTCCCGTGCGCTTACTCGCAATGCTTCCAGCCTTCCTCGGGAGTACGCAGTAGGAGATTTAGTGACCTTTCGTCGAGACAATCAAAAGGGGGGCACCACATGGAGTCCCACTAGTCGGGTGATAGGCCATGAAGGTGAAAGGAATTTGTGGTTGTTGTGTGGAAATGTTCCAGTGTTGGTCGCCAATCAAAATGTGAAGATTGCTACGCCGACCGAAGCACTAGCTCATGCTGTTTTGCATGGTGAGCCTGTTTTTCCCGAAAACGTTGTCAAGGAAGGTGTTCAGCAGTCTTTCCTTGATGCACGTGCAGATCCGAGCGAACCCGGATCCCCAATACACATCGAATCTCAAGAAACCGAACCCCAATTTCCGGATGCTGGTTCACTACCCCCTGTTCAAGAAGATGATGAGTTAGATGTAGGGATCAGACCGGATTTCTTCGATGAAGACCAATCCGAAGGTGAAGACGCGCTTGAAGAGTTGAGTAGATCCTCAGGTTCCAACTCACGCCCATCGCCTGCCGCAGGGAGTGACCATGGTCGCAATGTGAGGCCCCGTATCGCTGAGCCAGAAGGTGAGCGTGGATCCTCATTGCAACCATCCCGTAGGGAATCATCGGATACTCCAAATGCATGGCCCAATGTGTATGATCAATTGAACGACTTGCCAGTATCCCTACAAGAGCATTTTGAGAGAGCTCGTCAGAGAGACAGAGAGCAGACAGAGCAAGATCGAGAAGAAGCACATGCCATGTGGACCAGTTTTCTTGCCCAGACGGATGAAGAAGTAGATCTAGGTAAGAAAGTCCTGAAAAGCATTCACTATGAATCTGCACCCCCGGAAGTGCAGAGAGCTTTGCAGGATGCGAGAGGGAAGGAATGGGCCAAGTTTGAGGAGTTTGGAGCTGTTGTGGCGCTGACTCCAGAACAAGCGCAAGAACTCATTGATGAAGGGCACCAATGCATTCCATCCAAATGGGTGGATGTAGACAAAGCAGAGTACAAGAAGGGGAGAGACCCTGACTACAAACCCCAATACAAGAGCAGACTAGTTTCGTGCGGAAACTTCGAAGTGACAGAGGGTTTGAGGTCAGACAGTCCAACGGCCGATGTCGAGATGCACTGTCTCGTCTGCAGTTGGGCAGCCTGTCATCAGGCCGACATCCATTCAGCTGATATCACCTCGGCGTATTTCCAGGGACGACCATTGGATCGCGTCCTTCTTATGCGTCAAGCCAGAGGAGGTTTGCCAGGTGTAGAACCCAATGTCCTTTTTCTTGTGAGGGTCCCTGTATACGGGATCACGGACTCAGGAAGAGGCTTTTGGTTGCGTTTGGATGCCGATGCACGTAAGAGCGGCCTGAAGGCAAGCCAGTTTTTCCCAGGATTGTACTACCTCCCAGGTGAGCAGGGAGGAGATGCTTGTGCCCTCATGTGCACTCACGTGGACGACTTGCTTTATAGTTTTCTTCCGGAAGGCGAGGAAGTGATGAAGTCTTTTCTTGCCAAGTTCAGTGTCGGCAGCTCAGACACTAACAGCTTTCGATATTGTGGGAAGCAGTTCGTGCGAGGAGATGACAAGGTCATCAAAGTCGACACAGCAGATAACACTAGGAAGATTCATGGAGCAGATGTTGGGTCTAGGCTAGGCAGTGAACGCCTCCAGCAAGGAGACATCACGAAGCTCAGATCGATCACCGGATCGCTCGCCTGGATCTCGAGACTGACATTGGTTACAGGGTAAGCCGTTTGCAGTCTAGCATTAAAGATGCAACTGTGTCCACGTTGGCAGACGCTAACGCAGTCGTTGTCCTGGCACACAAAGGTCACGATGTGGCATTGTGTTTTCCTGCGGCTCATCTCCAATGGAGTGAAGTTGGTGTGATCACGGTCACAGATGCCTCCTTCTCCAACGAGAAGAACTACAAGTCGCAACAGGGCAGGATCCATTTTCTGGGTGATCTCAAGGAGATCAAGGATGACAAGACGACCACCTATAAGGTGATGCCATTGTCTTTTGGATCCACGACAATTAAGAGAGTCTGCCGCAGCACTCTCCAGGCCGAAACGTATTCCCTCCAGAACGGACTCGAGACAGGTGACAAGCTGAGAGGTGTGATTGCGGAAATTAAGGGTAAGATTCGCAGTCTGAAGACATGGGAAGATAATGCCCGAGAATGCATTCCGCATTTGGCAATGACTGATTGCCGTTCGCTTTCTGACCACCTCAATCAGGAAGTCCTGGCCAAGGTGAGTGACAAGCGCCTTGGTATCGAGTTGCAAGGAATCCATGAGAATTTGTGGCAAGAAGGAAGACCAACATGGATTGCCTTCGAGAATGGAGGAGACAAGTTGATCTGGATCGCCACCAGTACGATGGTGTCGGACTGTTTGACGAAGTCCATGAAGCCAGATCTGCTACTTCGAGTGCTGAAAGAGTGCCGCTACACTGTACAGAAGCAGAAGTAGATTTCTCCAATGCCTTAGGAAGACACAAGAGTTTCAATGTATAGCCGTGTGACACCTGTAGAACAGGTTGAGTGTGAATTTGAGGTAGGATCTCATTCTGTTGAGCCAGGTTGTCACACTATGTTGTGTCTGCCGCCATTTGGCTCCTAGGGCCCTTGAGCTATACCGTGCTCGCTTTCGCAGTGAAAAGAGCTTGTGGACAGTACGATTCCGGTTGCTACCGACAATCTTTTTGCTGAGATGAGGCATTGATCTGGTCTACCAGAAGCTGATGATTAGCCAAGAGATTCGCCTCCTCTCCCTGCTTCGTTCAGCTGCTGTTTGGAAGCAAAACTGGCAGGAGAATGAGCAACAAACCTTGCGCATGCTGGTCGATTCGACCAATGCATTGCAGCGCACGAAGTCGCAGTCAGCGGAAAAGACGCCAAACTCTTCACTCGTGGCAGACGGGTATTGACGGAATCTCCCATGGAAAGTTTCGATGGTGTTTGTTCCACTTTCGGGCAAAGTCTTTGAGATTCGGGCAGAAAACCTCCCAAACCGGCTGCATATGAGGGCGGTTGGTCTTGATCAACAGTTCTTCATTCATACTCGGCATGGCTGAGTATTCCTGTCGTGAACCCGGAGACCCCACCAAGACATCTCACACGACCTTCACAGACTTCGGACACCAAGTTTCGCACCCACTAAGAGACCACCCCGCACACACGCAACACACTGCGCAGTGCCATGGCCGTCGAGGCGCTGCTGGGAGATCCCCGGGCAGAGCTGGATTGGAATGACTTTGCGGGTCGACTGCTGACGCGAGTCGCATGCTGAGCTGGGGGGGAGGGACGCCAGGCGACGGTGCGAGATTGCATCTTCCAAAAATGGCTGTGGGGAACTGGCACCAGTAGACCGACCAGTTGTACTACCGTACCTTACCTTACCTTGCCCTACCTACCTACCTCATGGGGGACTGGCCGGGCTCCAGGTTGAAATGACCCATCCTCATATTGAGCTTGCAAGTTCGAGGAGGTTTGACACGTCCAAGCGACAGTGATGGGCTGACAGTGATGGGCCGTCGGTGGGCGTGGCACGCACCGGGTTTTGTGCGTTGTTGTTTTGTGAAGGCCTTAGACTGGTGATCCAATCTGTCAGTCACAACTATCAGCGACGGATATCTCGGCTCAGGCACCTGTCAAGGTGTGGGGTTCCATGTTTTGAGAGATCCTGGTGGAACTTGCAGCATGAACATACACATGAGCCTGGTGGCTTGCGTTCGTCCCGTCAGATGGACGCAGTTCGCTCCTGAGGTTCGAACTCCGTGGCTGACACGCCCCTTGGCCTCGCTGGACCGTCGGACCGTCCGGTGCACCGACCTGTGGCGCTGGTAGCACCGGTGGCCCATTGATCGATGGGGTAGCACCGGTCGGCAGGTAGTTGTATCCAGCAAGCAGGTAGTGGTTTTTAGCACCGGGCCTCACTCGTGGCATCGGTCGGACAATATTGGACAGATGGACGAGCCAACCATGGAGAGAAGGGCGGAAGGAAAACTGACCCCGAAAGACATGATGGAACGGATACGTGATGATATAGTATGACATAGCCATATAGGACAGGTTGAGGAGGAGGCTGGGGCATCAACGATTTTTGAAGTTCGTTTTTTGGACATGTAGACCGTGCATTGTCAGAAAACTCAGACTGGGAGATGCATAGCTGCATTACAGTGTTTTTCTTATTTACAGCCTTCGGCATGCCGCCGGCCACCAGCTCGAGCCCGCATTGGCAGGCAGCCTAATGATGCTTATTAACAGTGTTCCACGACTCGGAGAAACAAACCGTAGATTGAAACCAACCGGGGCAGGGCAGGCTGTCGAAACATCCGCGCGGAGAAACAAACCGTAGATTGAAACCAATGGAAACCAACACAAACCAGACGAAGCAAGACAATCCACAAAACCGGTACTTGAAAGTGAGTCTTCTTCCAAACTACTTGGCCTTTTGCATGTTTTCCTTGTCAGATCTTTTTTCGACCGTCTTGAGAAATTGCGAGTCGCACAAGATATTCTTTTTCACATACAGAAGGCTTCAAAGCGACCGAAGAATTGCTTGATCTGGCATGATTTGTCGTTTTTTTCTCCAAACCGTTCGAAATGAAAGACCCAGAATGACATCGAACAACAATACCCTGCTCAATCATACTTGTTGGTGCATTGGAGTTGCACATTTGGCTGGGTGAGTTTGTTGATGTCTATTTCAAGGTTGTTTGACCATGAAATGGAACGAATCCGAATAAGAGGTTGTCTATTCTGATCCAGCGATCCGAACCGGCATGTCTCAGTCGAATCACCTAAGAGGAACCAATTGAAACCAACACAAGCAATGCGAACCAAGACTATCCACAAAACATGACCTTGAAAACGATTCTTCTTCCAAACTACTTGGCCGTTTGCATGTTTTCCTTTTCAGATCTTTTTTCCGACCGTTTCGAGGGATTGCGACACGCACCAGATATTCTTTTTCACACACAGAAGGCTTCAAAGCGACCGAAGAATTTCTAGATCTGGCATAATTTGCCGTTTTTTTCTCCAAACCGTTTGAAATGAAAGACCCAGAATGACATCGAACAACAATACCCTGCTCGATCAGACTTGTGGGTGCATTGGAGTTGCACATTTTGTTGGGAGAGTTTGTTGATGTTGATTTCAAGCGAAGTCGTTTTACAATGAAATGGAAGTCTATTCTGATCCAGCGATCGACATGTCTCAGTCCAATCACTTTAGATGTAAAGGGGGGGGGAGGGGGGGGGGGCGTCAGGCTGTCGAAAAATCCGCGCGGAGATACAAACCGTAGATTGAAACCAACACAAGCAATACTAACCAAAACAATCCACAAAACACGCCGGCAGGCCGGCGGATTCTTAATTGATCAAGGGTCTACATTATGGTGTTGGTTTTCAGCCTTTGGTAGGTTCATGGGAGGCTCTCCACCAACCTTCCATTTCGATTCACCATGTTTCCCTCGCTGAAATCCTCCACGGAGGGAAGGCTGGATGGGGATGTGGAGGGTAGGCTACACCATTGGATGCTACACTCTTGATTTACAGCTACCCCGTTATGAAGGAACAGACACGCAGAACTAGCACAGGTTTGCTTTCTTGCTGTAGTAAGTTTAGAAACATTGGTGAACATCTCACTTAGTCATCGACTGAGTCCGGGTCAGTCGATCTGTGAGAGAAGGATATACGTGGGACCCGTGAGATGATGTGGGTTTTGAACACCCGGATCCCCTTTCACCAGGGGTAGCAAGCGACCGAGCTCCTTATATAGTTCTCTCCATTTCTCTTCATTGGTCTTCACAGGTCAACCCAGGATCCGCCCGGTGCCAGCTCCCCCCTACATGGGTCATCACATCCACAGACCGTCCGAGTCACCAAGGCCAGGGTGTGGCCGAGATCTTTGCTCAGCTTCAGGCGCCCCCGTTTCGTCTGGGCGCGGCGCGGCCCCGCGGGGGCATCCGGCTGGCTGAGCATGCAACGAAGGCATGCGCGAGATCCATGCGCGATATCCATGCGGATGTCCAGATGGCGTTCATATGATGAGAGATGTTGAGAACTACCGTTGTCGATGCTTCTCGCAATGAACATTGGACATGATATGTTCTAAGTGGTGCTCAACATTTTATACACCTTGTTATATAGATAGAAGCGAATTCCAATGGATATTGAGGGAATGGTTCATTTTTTGTCCTGTTATAAAGGCGGACCATGTCCCTTTCTTATGTTCATTCCAGTTCTATTGGAAGTCGTTTCTGTTTGTGACCACTCGAGGTCCCATATTTTGCGTGTTGTGGCAGTCCAAAAATTTGCATGGGATGAGAGGTTGACCAGTGACGTTCCCGCTACGCAGGTCCGAGCCTCTGGCTCTTTGCCAGGCCAGATGCAGCCAGTGGCGCGGAGCCTCAGGCTGCAGATTGAAACATGTGGGAGAGCTAGTCTCGTCTTCTGTGAATGTTGGGCATGACCACGCGGTGGTTTGGACAATTGACTGTTGGAACACATATTGCGAACTGGAGCTTCTTGTGTTCCATTCCTGATTAATCATATGACCTGGAACGCTTCTTTTGCGGGGGTCTGCAGCGGGGTACGTATATAGATTGAGAAGCAGCTTAGAGGGTTTTGCAAGCACCCACTCTCCAAACCACCCGCAAGGTCCTCGGTAGATACAGTAAACAACATCTCTACAGATCGACTCGATTCACTGAGGTTCGAGTGCCTGACTTGGTCCAAGCCCTTTTGGGCTCAGAGGACTTCGCATTGGAGGCCGATGGCGCGCGTCCTCGTTCTCCTGGCGTTCGCCGCCGCTGGATCTCACCGGTGCCCGCAGGCTGCGCGACGGGTGCTCCGTGTAGTGGCACGAGAAGCAGGGCATCGAGAGCAAGATGCGAGGAGTCCTGAGGATCTGGAGGGTGCGGCTCTCCATGCAGCCAAATGGGGATGGATGTCAATCTAGCATAGCCATGCATAACCTAGCATGGCTTCTGAGTGATACCCCCCACCTAGAATTGCTATTTTTTGTACTTCTAGGTTCTAGGCGACCCACATGAGCATTAAATTGGTATTTGTTAAAGGGAAACTGCTCGAAAGCAATGTTGAGATATTATGTTGAGCCCATTCAGCTCGAGGTTGGCAAACTCTGCCTTGCAGCCGACACAAGACGCGCTGCCCTTGGCTGGGAAACTATATCACTTCATGTAATGTGAAGTCCGGAACCTTTATGATCCTGCTTGCCTCAACATGCCCAAAGTCATACGCAGTAAACTTGAGGGCATGACTGGACATCACTGGGCCACCTGCTGCCTTGAAACGAGGTGTCGGCAGCCTGAATCTCAAGCAGCTGTCGTCGGTGCTCTTGGCCTTGTGCCCAGGGATGTTGGCAGAGGTGACACAGTGACGCGAGCTGCGTGTCCTGCTGTGCCGCAGGGTTGGTTGGTTGGTTGGTTGGTTGAAAAGAGCTGGAGCTGGTGCCAGAAGGTCTCCAATAGTCCATTTTGAGGTTCGCCAGAGACAAAACTGGCGGAGTTCCGTTTCCATCGGGGTTGTAAGTTGGGATTATTGCTCGATCCACCTGATGGAATTGCGAACGTGCGGGGATGGTGGAACACTCTGATCGGTGTTGGACCTGGTTGTGGAGGCAGATGTCGGCCTCATCTTTTGGCGCTTCTCTGGAAGCGGAGGCTTTTCCTACGAGCAGCTACAGGCATCCTGAGTGGCGGGGCGGGTGCGTCTTGGGTGAGGAAGGAAGAGAACATAATCATGAGCATGCATGAATCACTTTATGGAGTTCATTTTAGACCTTCTTTTGCGCTTTTGTACTATTTATCAGGAGTGGAACAAGATGCTGCTTTTGGGGGGTGAAGTTCCAATATCTTGGTAGACACATAAACACATAGTGGTCGGCTGAGCTGTCAAGGACA